CTCCACACTAAATTTTGCATTTCAAATTTGTACACAACATTTGGAAGTCAAAAGTAATTTGTCTGATATAGATTTTAAATAAATCCACAGAGTAGTTTTGCTCTACATAGCACGTAAAAAAACAACCCATTTTCAGCTATGTCCCCATTTTTGTAGCATGACGCACTAGTTTGCATTAGGTCTACCACTAAAAATCCCAACGATTGCGTCATATTGCAAAATATCTTGACAATTTTAGTAATTTTTATTTTCAAATTATAAAAAAATATGGCACCTAGAATAACAAGATATGTCGGAAGGTGAGTTTGAGTGAGGGATGTTCCTTGCTTTTGCTTGAAAACAAGATCATCATCCAGACACACCTGTAAAAACGTGAGGTTTGGAAAACTAAACTTCGTATCGGGAAGGAAAATATGATGGTACCTCAGTCGGAAAGAATGAAAGAATTCCATTTTAAAAATTAACAAGTATGAAATTGTCTCAAGCATCGGTATTTTCTCCAAAATGTTTCCTGTCTTTCGCCACTTCACACTGACTGGTAGTGCTAAGAAGTGACACTTTACTAATGCATCGGCAAATGAGACACTGTGCTGATAGATAAACAACAGTTTCTATTCAAAGTTTTGAAGAGACCCACATCACCATAGAAAGATGAATGGTACATAACATTGTATTATTCCACGAAGACATGTGGCTTCTCAAAAAAACTTACTGCCGCTATAAAACAAGTTTAACTTTTGAGTAAAATAGTAAGTTTATGGTAATTTAGATGAAAAATTAAAATGTTACAATGTTTATTATTTCATTTCGCTCATACCAGAAATCAGAAAACAAAACAGAAGAACTGACTACTCAGAAACAATGAGAATTTGTTTTAATGAGAAACAGAATGGTTCATTTCTACTAACTAAAAATCTGACCATTCACATTCTTCAATAAATTCCAACATTCAAATTATTTTGTGACAAGGGAAAAAGCACCTGAACCACTCGTATGGAGATCTTGGGGTAGTACAAATGAATAATTTTACTTACTTCATTTCACCAAATCTAAAAGCAACTCAGAATATGAAAGAACTTTGTCAAAGAAAATTTACCTTAATGAATGTCTATACACTCTACGTAACATGTTCACATATCGACTGCTTAGTGTAAGACTCAGCCATACATACATCATTTAGATATATAAATAAGAGAGGTATGACTAGTATGACAAAGTCTTACACTGGGCAGTCGATATGTTTAAAAGAACACCTGAAGTACACAGACAGTCAGGCTGGCGTCGGACTACCTATACACCATACACGGAATAAGCACACGCTAATGACTTGTGCAAGTCTGACTGGCCATATGCCATACAACATACACCAGACACATGAATGTGCATGTTCACATTTTTTGTTTGCTGTATGGCCAAACACATGGACGGATGACGTTGATTAAATTTGCACTATTTTTATCGCCAATTTTCTTAGCTCCTGAGTCAGCTAACCAGAGTGACCAAAGCAATGCAACCGATCAGAGTGAACTGGATTTGAAAGTCATTCTGATTGGTTTTGTTTGTCAACATCCTTCTTTATACCAATCCTGGACATCTTGATTACAAAAACCGAGCTTTAAAGGAAAAAACATGGGTGCAAATCAACAAGGACATTGGCATTTCAGACATTCAAACCACAACTGTTCTGAGCTGCAAAAGTGTAGAGTTTATGCACGTGTATGGTGTATGGTCTATTGTGTATGGTCAGTTAGACACCCCTGTATGGTGTATGATGTATGGTTAGTCCGACGCCAGCCTTAAAGGATAGCAAACTCATTATTGCAAAAATCAAGATAGTTTTTAACCTATTTTTATCTAATTCTTAAAAATATCCCAACATTACAGTAAACCAGGGAGCCTTTGCCTTTAACTGAGGCTGGAAATAAAACATAAATCAAGTATCTTGAAGATGCAAAAACTTGGATTTTTAGCAGAACAGTTTCAGTAATTATGAAAGTTGATGCAGAGAAAATTTGCTGCCTGTTCAAAAATAACGGATAGCAAGCACAACCTTCAAGATCAATAAGGCAGTGGGGGAACAACTTACACAAACGTCTTATCTACTATCCTAACATTGAGGAGTTGGTGATCTAGTGGTTAGGCTGTAGGGCTCACACTCACAATGAAAAGGTGCCAACCCCTTCAGAGGCCAGCTATTTTGTCCTTGGGAAAGGTATTTTTCAGGAATTTTCCGCACTTCACCCAGTTGGGAATGGGTATCCAGCTATAGACAGTGAAAGATCTTTTCAGTCTGTCAGTGTTTGAGCGCTTCATCAGCTGCTTGAACTCTATGCTTCCCCCGAAGCCGAGAATGTTTCTGAGTGTTCTAGGGTCTGCTGGGATGATACAGACGGTAAAATGCAAAGAGCTTGCTGTTGAGCTGGGATATGTCATACTGTAAACAATTGCTCATTAATATTATTATCATTATCATAAATCCTGATGCTACATTTTTCCAGTTTGAGTCGTTTACATAAAAACCAAATGCTCATTAGATTCGCTAAGCTCCCCTCTACTCACATAAATGATCAAAACAAAAATATAATATAGCACTAAAGTTGTGCTAAACATAGCAGAGTTCTCAAATCCTAAAGTACCAACTGTCTTACCGGTCAGAAAGTAAAAGAATTGTTTTGTACTTTTTGATGTAAGTGTTTTTAGGTCCCCGTCAATACCATTTAGATCATTCAGGAGGTGGGCTTCTGACCCTGCCTGCCAGGGCCAACCAATCAGAGAGGGATACATCCCAGTGGAAAGGCCAAGAAACTGGATACAAAATTTTCTCCCAATTTGGGAAACAAACTCAGGTCTCCTGTGGGCAACAGTAAAGTGCTATACCACAGACGCTAGTGAAATCAAATGTGTAAAAAGAGAAGAATACCCCCCCCCCCAACTCAAAAAAGTGTGATATCAACATTGTAAAATGCTGGTTAACAACAACTGTTATAACTCAGCAAGACTCCTTTTTTTCTTCAATGCCACCTAGAGACCCAAACAGCGGCACCATAACAGAGAGCTTTACTGAAAAATACTCCAACAATCACATGCTTGCATCTTAAGAGGAGTAGAGAAGGGAAATACTCGTAATTATAAAGTTTTATTGCCACATTCAACACAATTTAGATAATTCGGGAGGTTGGGTGCCACACCTTTGCACAACAGGGCCAGCCTGGGGTGAGACAGATGCAACATCCCAGCAAAAAGACAGACAAAGATACTCCATTTTAAAAAAAATAAAAAATCAGCATGCATTCAAACATTATTATGGGTTGGTTCACAGCAGTATGAGAGAAATTGACGGGAATGTTTAGGTTTTAGTCTTCGTAAGTTTTACGGTACTTGCAACACAAATACGTCATATAAGTGCGGAAGATTGGAGGTGTTATTAGAGAGTAACATACAAATAAACAAAGGAGATAGGGAGATCAGGAAGAAAGATGTTTGATAGGAAAGAAGGAGAAAACAACACCAGAGCACCGTCCAACTGCCCACAGTTTGACTGTTTATGACTTTGCAGACAAAGCAAGACAAAGAGACAGGTAAAACAATTTCCTTTTTGCTGAACCATATAATCTTAAATCATATGCCCTTTTCCACACACAAGAAGTATGTAGCCTTGTTTGAACATCAAGACAACAAGTTGACTATTGTGAAGTTACTGACTGTGCAATAGAACATTTTTTCTCCTCTGAAAGCTGGTCATATCTTACTTTGCTTCTTGGAAAATAAAACATACGCTCAGTGCTCCAGAAAGACATCTAACAGGTCCACAAACATAAATTTATGACGTACATAAATACACTCCTCCACACACAAAAATACCACAGAAAAGAAAATTATGCACTTAAAGAAACTCTTTAATCTAGGTACTAATTAAGCACATGCTACTGAATGACGATTTGATACCAGAACATTAAAAATTGCATTTAATTTTATGTAGGAAATAGGACTCTGGAGCATGATTTTTTGGACATCTAAAAAAATTAATTGTTTCAAAAACTTGTAAAGAGAAAATAGCCACAAGAGAACCATAAGCTTAATTAAAGCATAAGACTATGTTCAGAAACTCACTGCAACGCAACGCAAAGCTTTAGCATTAGAGAAAGCGAGAAAGCTACAAAGGACAGAGGGCATGAGCGTGAAAACAAAACTCCACAGAAACATTGAAAGGAGAAGCATGAGAGAGATCGACTGAGACGAGATCAGAATGTGATAGACTAGTGCTTGCCAGAGGTAGGTACTGACTTTGTTAATTTTGGAGGGCAGTGGAGATCACACAGGTAGTGACATGTATTACTGAATGCCGCGCTTGGCATACACATATAGGTGTGTGGTATGAACATTTTAACCCCTTAAAGGTGAAAAAGGAGGTATTGGCTATAAAAAGGTGTCTGGTCATACTGTTAAAGCGATAAAATAAAAAGATCTCGCAGCACAATTCAAAGTTGTTAACTCTTGAGAGCAAAGTTCGGCTATTTCCGATTTCCCTTTTCCTCCGTTTTTGACTTCTGCGTGGCCTTTGGTTGATTTGATCAAATGAATTGAAGGGATGATTTGAGCAGGTACAAACAGCTTTATTTGTTAAAGACGTGATTGATAAGATCCTGCAAAATGGTTTTAACAAAGAAAAGACACCATATTCTATTTATCTTTTCAAAATTTAGACCCTGACCATTTTTTCAACTGGCACTTTTGTGTGTATTAGTTCTAACAAAAGGTGCAGCATTCTAATTGTTAATATTAAATATTAGTGAGAAAAAACATGAGAAATGCTGTTTGCCCTTAAAATTCTTTCTTGCTATTTTTCCCTCCCATTGAAATGTTCCTTTATTCTTATGACGTGAAAAAAGACATTATTATTCTGAGTGAACGTTGGGACCTGAATGAGATGGAAATAAACGAACATTTGTAGTAAACTCAGTTGGGTAGGCTACATGACGTCATCGAACGAAAAAACTATTTGCCGACAGTCAAAGAAAAACAGAAGTTGCGTTACGTATCATAAGGTACTAATCCGTTTTACAAAGCTGCTAAAAAAAATCTTTAAAAAAGAGGATATTACAGAGAGAAAAATTATGCTAAAAATTGGGAAAAGTGAAAAAAAAAAGTTATGTGTCCTACAGAATGCCCATAGGGTCGAGAACAGCGATTTGATTGAGTAAACTGGTTGCCGGCTGCAAAATCCAAAATGTATAAGTAGAAGGCAAACCTCAGTCACACTCATTGAACAGCCACACTTCATTTTCCAAAAAAATATCAGCTCATCTTCTTGTGTTTTCTTTCATTTCAAACATTTCGTCAAATCAAAAGAACAAAAGCATAAAAGGTAGCAAAAGTAAAAAAAACAATTTTTTTTTAAACATGAAAGAAAATTTTGTAACTTGCAATTACAGTTGATAAATCTCTACTATGACGTGGCACTGGAACTTCAGCTGACAGCAGTAGGACAGAGCCATGTAGATGAGCACACAATGTCAGAGGTCATTCAACCATGTCATTCAACATCAAATACTAGTTTCAAACAGTGAAGGTGTCTATGGTTTTCTCTCATCATCGTCCTCACGAGAACCAAGTGAAATCGTTCAGGAAGGGAAAACACAGCGTTCTTCACAAAATGTACGTGGAAAAAAGATGCTGCAGGCTTGAAGCCATGGGCTTATCACAGGCGGACGGGGATGGGGGGTGTGTCTAGTAAACTTGATGAAAGGTATAGCTGTTCCTGGGTCATCGTTTCTTGAGAGAAAAGAAAAAGACATTTTATTTTTTAAATATTTTTTTGCATGAATCAAAAGCCAGGAGTAAATCATTAGGAGGGGATGAAACACTTTCGTTTGGGTCAGAAGTTAGAATTAGAGATAATTTTTTTTTAATGTCTCGATAATTATTTTCTTAAGTAAAAAAACCCCACATCAGATCAATAACAGTCATTTAGTGCAGGGAGGAAAGTAAGACAGACGGACAGAGAACCAACAAAGGTAAAAAAAAAAGAGTAATAATAACAGGTAATAATAGTTTGCGCTAATATAGAACTCTGTCCAATACAAATAAAAGTTCTGAGCCAACCAGCGGCACCCTCCAAACCCCTCACAAACTGAAACAACACTAAAATACACACAGAACTTCACAATATTTCCTTAAGCTGGCCTGATAATTCTAAATAACTATTTTTTAAAATAATCGGATTTTATGCACATCCTATCAGGGTTCTTCAACAAGCTAAATATAAAATTTAAAAACTGAGGGCTCCCATTGTACTGGGAGTACTTGGCAGGTCTACTCTGAGACCATAGTAAATCTTAACTTATCTTAGTCACCCATTTATCTTCTGTCATTACCTTGGGTGGAGGGTTGTGGTCTGGCTTCAGCCTCAGCTCCGGACTGAACACGTGGTCTGCACGCTGCCTATGTCTCCCTGCCGGTGCTTGGCTGCTTGGGTTGTCCTCTGACCTGAGAAGGAATTTATAATTGTTGAAGTTTTATTTTTATACCCCCCCCCCCCCCCCCCCCCCACAATCAATATGATTAAAATCAGCCTCGAATCTTTCATCTGCTAGACATTAGTTAATCAATGAAAGTGGATTCTTTGTTTTACGGGCCTTGCAACAACATAAGTTTGTAAATGTGCCAAAGATAACAGCTGTTATACAAGAGTATCAAACACAAAAAAGAAGGAGGAGAGATAAGGACCATAGATGTTTGATAGGAGAGAAGGAGCAAATTACACCAGAGCCCCGCCAACTACCCGCAGAGTAGGTTCTTCAACGTAAAAGTTAACAAATGTTGTGTTTATAGTTATTTTTCCAGCACTACAGTTCAGTTCAGTTTCATCGTAAAAATTTTACAGCACCCACAACTGCATTAGGTCAGTTCCCCAACCTTCAGGAAGCACTCAATATTTTTTAGAGTAGCTTTAACTCAATGAAGTCGTTCTCAGGATCTGCTTGCAAGAGGCCTGTGTTGCCTTATTTTTACCCTATAGCGCATTTAGCTAGAAGGTAGTAATTTTTGCTGGATTTATGTAACATAAGCAATGCTTTACCAATGCTAATTTTTACTCAGGACATATGTGTACAGGGTTGCAATTGTTAATGCTTTATGCCCATATCAACAGTTTAAATTGTTTAGGATGTTCAGGAGATGGGCTGCTTCACTATGCCTGTCACATCTAATCTGGGATGAGAAGGATACAGCGTCCCAGCAGATGAATGGAGACAGTCGACAATTACCACACAATGCAGGAATCGAACTCATGTTTTCTGCATGTGACAACAAAGACCCTAACTGCTACACAACAGATGCTGTCTGCCATACAATATACAGTTATGTGGTGTGGCTCTATTGAGTTATAAATAGCCCTACCTGTTCCTGCTGGGTCTCTGTCCCGCCCGGTCCAGCTGGTTCATCACCGTGCGACTCGTCACGTGCGTCTTGCGGTCTCTCGTGCCTACAGAAAACATAGAAAATTGGAAATTTTTCAAAGATTAAATGTATTCGTCTCCAACTCAACACTTTGCAGTCACATAGCCAGTAGTACAAAATACCCCATCCGGTCACCCAACCGGGAGAGTGACTGCAACGGACTTCTCAGGCTTGTCACAGCACTGCGTCAAGTGACCAGAACGGTTAATTTTCACCTGCCGATTATTACGGCTGGTGACCTCAAAGTGTTAAGAACAATTGAGTCATTAGATCGAGTTGTCAATGTGCACTTAAAAATGATGACTTGTCTAGCATGCACGTTGCGAAATAATGGGACACAGAAATTTCTTTCATTATGTACAAATTTCACTAGGCACGTATTTTAAATACAAAGAATGTACAGGTATAAGAAAAACATCAGGGATCTGAAAATCTGTACGCTACATGCGTGCTAGACTGTATATAAGAAACTGATTTTTCATGCCATTACCTGGCTGATTTTTGTCCACCACTCCGAGTGGCTTTGGCGTCTTTCTCGTCCCAGCAGTAGCGCCCGATGTAGCGCCGTTGGCAGTATCCTCCTGATACAAGAATACAAGGAGTTAAATTTATGCAGAATCAGAAAAATCTATACCACAGAGAATTTTGATAATAATATTATGATCCGAACTAATTAGCACAGTCTGTTTTTCCCTCTGAACCCTCTGTACCAAAATAGTACGATTGCAACAGGGCAAATACCCTGGGGTACCAAAATATCGGTTATAAAGCATGAGACACCTACCCAAATCTGAAGTTTGTTTTCAGAAATAGAAGGTAAAATGCGAAAACAACAGAAAGCTTTGACTCTGCTTTAGATTAACACATCTTGTTATATCGGCTTTCCCTTTCACCAAAAATAATAATAATAAAAAACAATTTTAATCTTCAAAAAAATTAATTCTAAAATCAAATTAAACAAGCGGCACTTATATTACCTATTTGTGTTGCAAAAAATGTTTTTAATTTTTAAAATTCTATCTTATTTAAGTGTTCCTCTTTAATTTACACACCACAATTGGACACGGGGAATGACAGATCAATACCTGCAACAATTGGTTGAGTCTGGCCCGAGCTCGTTGGGCACTTTTACTGGGTCTTCTATCCGTGAGCCCGTTAGACGTGGGGATCTCGACTTCTTCCTCTAGCTGCCGTGAGGGCCTGCGGGGCGGGCGGGCCATTGCATCGTCAAACCTGCACATGCATGGAGCACAGTGGTGCCTTAGGAGCCAGAGAAAGGATAGGTACACATCTGCTCTAGTTCTGGGTTTTTATCAACAGCTTTGCTTATACTTTCGTAAGCCCGTTTTTGGGATTGGAGATTACAAAAGCAGAAACAAAAAGTCGTTAGGTTTTGAGTCAAGATAAGTGTACCAACACAATAATAATTGGAAGATTCAAGTGACTCAAGTTTCATTAAAAAAATAATAAATTTTAAAAAACCCATAGATGGTGACTTCTGAAAGTTCACCAGCCTAAGCATTTGAACCAGTATATTTATCTCTAGCTAGTCTAATGTGTTATGGGCGAAAAGCCCATTTTTAAAACAATAATAGAAATGATATTAATCAGGAAGGAGTTCCACTTTGAGTCAAACTAAGAATGATCCATTAGGGATTTGAACCAGGATTCCCTGTAAGCAAAACTTTTCTCACTTTCTTTTCCACCCAAACACAGAGAAGTATTTACATGGGTGAGACCTTTTCAAGATATTTTCATGGAACCACACACATGAAGAGCAATTAAAAAATAGTTCAAGCAAATGGTCCTATTTTTACCCCACAGGTGTTTTAGCAGGGATTGAGTCACATATTTACTTAAATAGGAAACACACAAAAAACGACTACCCATTTCCCCTCATGCATTAAAAAAAAATAATAAGATGACACTGTTCAAGACGTCCATCTCCCCATGACAACCACCTTTCTCCTCGACAATGGCTGGCTGTCTTGGACAATTACGACAGTGCAAGGTCTCATCAGCAGTTGTTTATAAATTCAAGCAAAAACCCCTCTCAATTAAAAAAAACCCTGAACACACCAATAGAATAACACAATACCTGTTCACAGGAGGCTTGTACTTGTCAGTGGGAGAATCGGAAACTTTGCGAAAGCGAAAGTAATTCAATCCCTCGCTGGCTCCCTGGTTACGTCCCCTGGCATGAGCTACCATACCATCATCATCATCGTTGTCTACGAAATCGATGGGCGCGGGATCTAGCTGCCGCTTAGGCTTGGACTTGGGTTTGAAAGACGTTGGATTGGACGGAGGTTTGGTGTTGAGGTTTCTTGACACACTGGCAGGAGTCGTGGCTCGAGAGGCAGACATGTTGGCTTGACACACATTCTGGACATGGAAATTGGTGAGGTGATTAACCAACTTTCGACTGGCTCACTGCTTGACACAGAAACTGCTGAGGTGATTAACAAACTGTCTACTGGCTCAGTGTGGTAATTAATCCAACAGTCGACTAGCTAACTGCTTGACCATATTTTTTCCAATAATAAATTTTTATACATATACATTATCTTATATTCTATGCATACACCTGTCAAATGATTATCAAATGTGATATCTCTTTGGCAGTAGCGAGCACTGCGAATTTTTTAGAAGTACAGTATAAATGCTATTTATTATCATCATTGCTGTTTTTGTATGGCTTTTACAGTACCCTTCATGAATGTATACTCAGCAGTAACAAACAATATTTTCAATACCAACAACAGAGAAGACTATACAAGTCACGGCGCAGTGGAACCAGGCGCCCGTAAATTTTTGGGCATGAGGAGTTATTCGTGTGCGTGTGATAAGCAAGTAGATGTGTGTGTGTGTGTGTGTGTGTGTGTGTGTGTGTGTGTGTGTGTGTGTGTACGTGTGTGTGTGTGTGTGTGTGTGTGTGTGTGTGAGTGTGTGTGTGTGTGTGTTTGGCATACATGTGTGCGTGTTATGTGTTCGTGAGTGTGTATGCGTGTGTTTGTGTGTGTGTATATGTATATGTGTGTGTGTTTGTGTGTATATGAGTGTGTGTGTGTGAGTGTGCGTGTGTGTCGCGTGCATGAATATCTTTCTTACATGCATTTATGTAAAGCGCCTAGAGCTGTGTTTACACGGGAGTGGGCGTTATAGAAATGATCTTCATTATTATTATTATTATTATTATTGGTACTTCCTTAAATCTTGTTCATTTGCCTTACTTTCAATAAAAGAAAAAACCCATTTACCTTGAATACAAGTCCAGATATTTGCAATTTAAGGAGGTGGGGGGCGCCCGGATTCAGAGGTAAAATTAGCGAGAAAATGGCCTCCAAAGCTGGGCTGTTTACATAGCCTGAGAGTCCGTTGAGACTGGCAATTTACATTTATGTACCTTTAATCACAGTTTTTCGGTAAAATGCTCACAGAAATGGGTTCTTAATTGACATAAAAGATGTCGAGTCCCATAAAAAATTTCAATAAAATATTTCGAAACCGGCAGGAAAATGCCAGTTTCTTCAATTTCATTACTTTGACGAGTGCCTGATGTCACCAAGCTGCCTCACATATCAGTTTGCTAAAGTTCGAGTGCTAAACTGGCTGCTTGCACAGTATGCTTCCAGGGAAACCAAGAATGCCTCTGGGTGTTCTAGGGTCTGCTGGGGTAACAATAGTTGTACAGTGCAAAGAGCATGTGTATGTGCTATACTATATACAGGGTGATCAAAAAAAAAATGTACAACCCACACTGAAGTTTTGCATTTCAAATTTGCACACAACATTTGAAAGTCAAAAAAGGAATTTGTTTGATATTCATTTTAAATAAATACACAAAATAGTTTCGCTTTACATAGTAGCGTGTAAAAAAACAACCCATGTTCAGCTATGTCCCCATTTTTGTAACACGACGTACAAGTTCGCATTACGCCTACTACTAAAAATCCCAACGATTGCGCCATAATGTAAACTACAGTAGTCTAACAGGCCAACAGAAGTTTGCAGATAGTTTTTCTCAAGTTTCTTGTGCCTGCTGAGATCATGGTTAAGATAAGATTAATAAAGAGCAGAGAGCATTTAGTATTGAACATTTCCTCACCACCAACTCCTTTTGGAAGTCTCGCGCAAAGTACGGAAATAATGTTAAAAGGCCCTTAAGGTCTTCTTTGATGTCAAGGGTGGAAATGATCCATCAGTTAGGACCTGCGGAGAATCAGAACTAAAAATTTCCAGACAAAACGACTACTTCAGGTCAAACATACACCATTCGCACCCCTTTAAACGTCACCATGGTGCAGAATTCAGTAGATGAGACGTCTGTCCGAAGACGATGTCTGCAGCAATGACTTTCCTAATTCTAAACAGTCTGCATTCTCAAGGCAGATCTTCATCTACGACTGTACCATTTTCCTGTTCGTAAAGCTATCAGAGGATAGCAATGTGTTCATGATTCCTTGATCGTCTTAAAAAGCGTGAACATTTCCTCAATGACATTTGGCTTCGTGGCAAAGCCTATATTCACCTTTCAGGTTATATCAAATCTACACATGCTGTCTGTTTGGGCAACCTCACCCCCCTCCCCAATTGACTCTACAAACAGGTCCATACTGTAAGGTGTACATTGTGTGCAGCTTTGAGTACTCAAGGCTGAGGGGATCCTTGTGTTTGACCACCACTGAACATTACGACCGACGCGTTAAAATGTGCCGAGACCAAAGGAGGACATATGGACCATTGGTTCTTAGAATTCCAGAATTTAAAAAAATAATTCTTTTTAAACTCTGTAGGAGAAAATAATATTGTTTTTGTTTGTTTTTGTAAAGTGTTTTACGGCGCTCGCAACTGCATAAGGTCATATGAACGCGCGGGACACACCTAATATTTTCAGTTGGTAGGAAATTTTGAATTTTGTCCGGGTGGCGGCCGAAGCCTACTCTTATCGATTTTAGACCACCAAGGGATCTTTATCGTGCGCAACTTGCTCACGGGCCCTCCGAGATATTTCGCCCTTGTCCGAGAAGGCTAGGTGTAGATCTTTCCTACCAGAAGATCAGGGGTGTGGCAGAAAGACAGCAGTAAGGAGGAGCCAAGGAGTAGCAGTAGAAAGACTGCAGAAAGAGTCAGGAGCCCAGAGAAGGGGGCAAAGGAGGTGAGGGGATGGGGGCAGAAAGTGGAAATGAAAGCAGACAACAGAACATTGCTAGAGAGCACGAAAGGAGGTGAAAGGAGACAATTTTAGAGAAGAAAATTTTTCGGTCACTACCCGGATTCGAACCCGGGACCTTTGAATGAGAGGCCAACACCTTAACCTCTAGGCCACGAGAGCCCCTAATATTGTTTAAAGGTTACAAGTATGGAAAGATTAGATTTTAAAAAGGACAGGAAAGGAAAAAAATAAACCAATCATTACGTGACTTTCTTTCTTTACAAGATCTTTTAAATTGGCGCATTTTGCATTTATAAGCGATTTTTATAAAAGTCATTTCCATTTTCAAAAACAAGTTTCTTCTTTGTGAACTTTAAGTCAAATAAATTTCTTTTGAATGAATTATATCTGTGTTCCAAATTACAACATTCTAGTACAAATTTTGTGTGAGATATTTATTTTTTTTAATTGACTTTTATTTTTATCCCCCTGTAAATGCATTTATTATCAATAAGTACTATAGATGTAGACATAGTAAAAGAAAAATCTGAAACATCTGATTTTTAAAAAAACATTTTTTTCTACAAACAGAAGAAAAGATTGTTTACCTGGTGCTGAAAGATGATGTCTGATGGAAAGACTTCTTCACAGAACTCACATGGAAGGACCACTTGCTCGTCAAGATCATCAAGTGTGAGGGGGGCACCCACATCGCTGAAATACAACAAGGAGACAACTGTGAGCTTTAGTTGGAGTATTACACCATTTGCAAAACAAATAGGTCATTTAAGTACCAAATAACAAACACAAAAAAGAAGGAGGAGAGATAAGGACGATTAATGTTTGAAAGGACAGAAGGAGCAAACCACAACAAAGCACCTGCCAACCACCCATGTTATTAGAGAAACATACAAAGAAAAGAAAGGGGAGAAAACCACACTAGAGCAGTTGCCAACCACCCACAGAAAACCACCATGAAGAATATAAAGTGAGTAACAATTCCAAATGCGGACGGTCCACTAACAGCTCATCAGAAATCAAAACCAGTCCTCGTTTTTGTATAAGTGAAAAGTAAACTAACAACAACAACGCTTTAATAATCTCAAACTAACGGTACTGAATAAGAAAGTGAATATTGGGTCCAAATTGACCAAAACAGCCACCTTCCCATGACAATCACCTATACAAATGATCACTTCCCACTTCATCCCTTGCGTGGGTCAATTGTCCTACCTTGCCTTTCACCCCAAGACATCCCTTTCTTATAAACCCTGAAGCAAAACCATTGAGAGATTTTATAAGAAAAAGGGATGCCATTGACCACACCCACTCACCTGTAAGCAGATTCGTCCGCACGTAAGTTGTTTATGACTGGAATGGATGCTCTTGTGTGTGGCTGCGTACTCGTTGATTCATTGTTCCTGTTGTCGGATGCTGATTCTCCAAGAGGGCAAGTCTCCTGAGACAGGAAAGATCAACATAACCTAGAGTATTTGAAAGAAGCTTTTTTTTTAACAAAAAAAGGGGGAGGGGGCCAGGGAAATGAAGAGCCAAAGGAGCCCTATAAGAACAAAAGAACAGCTAACAATTTTGTTTATTGTAATGTCAGGACTCAAGGCTTTAAACAAAATTAACAAAAAACACAGACAGAAATTTTAAAAATGGCCAGTACAATTTTTATTTAGAAAAATAAACCTGACACCAACGTCAAGGAAAAAACTAAATAAAAGGCGACTGAAGAGTTTTAAAAAACAGCAAACATAAGACAATTATGTCAAATACAAGTACGCAGTCTTTTCCACAACAACTAAAAAAGACAACAGTGTCCTTTTTGCACACAAAAACAAAACTCGACATAAGTGACACACAATAACTTACAACATGTTCTAAGTAGGTCGTCAAAGGTATCTCCATTTCACAAAACTCACACGGGATGCTCATATCCTCATCTTCATATGCTGAAAAAGAACAGAGTAACACAAGTAGAGTGATTACAAACACTGTCCCCATTTGGATGTGTGAGGAGACCACAGAAAGAATACCAGCAAGGCAATCAAAAGAAAAGCTTTGACTTGGTCTGTCAAAGGGAAATGGCAATAAAATAATGTAAATCAGGCTCTAAATACTACAACTACCCCCCCCCCTCCACCCCCACCCACCCCCGCCGCGAATGAGGATAAGATTTTACAACTCATTGTATCATTCTTTTGTAAGGGAAAACTGACCGTGTCCATATACCAACAGGTCTGCATGAACATACTGTGTTTCGAGTCACCGATCACCTCCACTGTTTGTTTTTTTTAAAAAGGTGACTTTTTATTTAAAAGGATAAGCTATGCAATGGGCTATCCTAAAAAAAAAAAACAGCTAAAGAGTATATATAAAAAATTCAGTGAAGTCTCCAAATACAGTTGAAGCTGCTCTAACAGCCAACTGTCAAAGACAATCATCTGTACAAACAACCACTTCCGTACTTGCATTTTTCTTTAATGAAAGTAAAAACTCCTATTTCATGCAAATCCAATTGAAGTTCTTTGAAGGGCAAAAACCCGCCCAAAAAAATCATCGGAAAGCTGTGATTTTATTGGAGTACTTATCAGGTCTGCTTTATATTTTCAATTTTTTACCTTGTCCTGCATTCTGCCGACTGGGTTCCTGAGTCTGTATGTTCCTCTGGAAATCTGGAATGTTTTCCTCCCCTCTCTCCCACCTAAAGTCGGCCATATTGAATCTGTTGTCTATTTGTTGGCGGTCATCTCTCACTGTTGGTGTCAAATCCTGGGAACAAAATTTCAAAGAAACTTTATGGCACAGATCAATTATAAATGATCCTTCGCAATTTTTCTAAAAGTGCAAGGAAACAATTTTTCTTAATCAAAGTGACAAATTTCAGAATAACATTAAAAAAACATACATACTGCCGTTGATGCTGCAAATAATGCAATATTGCCTTAGTTTCAATGCCAGAATTAAAGAAACACTGAAAGCACTTATCGTGCCAACTTTAATAAAGCTTATAATATTAGGCTTCGTTCAGTGATTAATTAATACCAAAACAAATTCCCAACATCAAAAGATGTTTACGAAGAAAAATACAAGAGATCTATCATTTCATCAAACTATTCATGAGTATTGTCAAAATTTCACAATTAAAAAAATAATTCTCCCACTTTTGATAAATATTAACTGAATACATTGTTGACAACAGCAAATTATGAAAGAAGAGGAAATTTCCATTAACAAATCACATCTCTTCCAAAGGCTCCTTTCCTCCTAAAAACTCTTGAAAAGAATGAAGAACATATGAGACTTTTCACTGCACCAACATTTCTCAAACTAACAGCAGAAACTGGTCAACAGAAAAGTAATACAATGGGATAGTTGAACGAAACAGTTAAATGTTCACAGAGAATTGATGATCGAGATTGAACAGTAGACAAATCAATTCTTTTTTCCTTTTTATAAGTGTTTTACTGCGCTCGCAACTGCACAAGGTCATGTGAGAGCACGGGAAACATTAAACATTTTCAGTTGGTAGGAAATTTCGAATTTTGCCCAAGTGGTGGCTGAAGCCTACTCTTATCCATTTGAGACCACCAAGGGATTTTTAACTTGCGCAACTTGAACACAGGACCTCCAAGATTTTTTGCCCTTGTCTGAGAAGGCTAGGTGTAGACCCTTCCTACCAGAAAATCAAGGGTGTGGCTGAAAGACAACAGAAAGAAGGAGCCAAGGAGTAGCAGTAGAAAGGCTGCAGAATGAGTCAGGAACCCAGAGGAGGGGGCAAAGGAGGTGAGGGTGTGGGGGTAGAACGTGGAGACGAAAGCAGACTACTGAACATTGTCAGAGGGCAGGAAAGAAGGGAGGTGAAAGGAGACAATTTTGGAGAAGAAAATGTTTCCATTGCTACCTGGATTCGAACCTGGGACCTTTGAATAAGAGGCGGACACCTTAACCTCTAGGCCACGAGAGCCCCCCAATCAATTCTTAGAAATGAGCAAGTGTTAAATGTTATTGACCTCTTTTGTCATTCACATGTTTTCACAGGAATTGTTCATTCCAATTTGACATGATAAGACCTAATTTTGAATTGCTATAACATTTCTAGAATGTTTATGCCAAGCACAAAGAACCAGTTCTCTTCGATAGAGCCATATGGCAAGCTAACAAAACTTTTTTTTTTTTAAAACAAAAATTCTATATACATAATAATTAGATAATAGCACAAACAAATCCAACGAATGTAACAAGAATTACAAACTGCCGATTGTCTTGAACAAATGAAGCATTATTAACCCTTAGAACCCTTTGTACCGAAATATCGGTATAAAAAGAACGCGACAAAAACCCTGGGGTACCGAAATATCGGTATGACATACCAACCTAAATTTGGTGCGTGTTTACAGAAAAGAACACAAATACCCAACAGCAGCATCAATGTGATATAATTACAACAAAAAATGAAAAAAATAGATAAGAACAACACTAAAGTAAGCAGTAGAAAAGAATACCTAACAAAAATCAAGGAAATTACTCAGAAGTCCAGGGTTTTACCCATTAAAGGCCCACGAGCCCAGAATTCAAAGGGTTAAGGGCCTATTACATGTATAGGCCGAGCAGACAGGTTTTTGACTGTAGGCAAGACGTACAGCCAAACGAAATCGAAGACACTTAGTTTAGTATTACACGCCACAATCCATCTGAAGGATGCCGCACCTCACGAGCAACATATTCTACACACTAGGCCTAGTCTGGGTGAAATTTCACACACGTGTGTGCATCATGGCAGACAGAACAGTTCTGGATGATTTAGCCATTTTTATCAAGTTTAAAAAAAACAAAAACAAAGAAAACAATGTCGCATGTGGTCAAAGGATTGGTTATTGAAGAGGAATGCGCTATCACAAACAAATCTGCTGGATGAGTTTAGAGCATTTCCAGAAGGTGTCAAAAACTTCATGAGAATGGACGAAGAGACATATATGTGTGTGTGCCTAAAGAAAGGTACCAAAAGTCCAATTTTGACAATTTTGAGTTAAGGCTTGTACCTTATAGGAAATTCAATGCTGAACACAGGGGTTTTTGAAATTTTTAGATATCTCAAGTAGTTTTTGAGATATTGCACATTTTGCTAGGTACGGTATAGACATATAATTTTGAGAAAATGAACTTTTTACGTTTAACAAACGTGAGATGCATACAAACTTTTAAAAAAACAACGATTTTTTAAAAGTATATATTCTTGGAAAATTCATTTCCAATTTGGCATTCAGTTGACATCGATATCAAGAAAGGAATTCAATTTTAAAACATAGCAGGGAAGACAAAACGTGCTTGAACAATAGATTTTAACACCTTTTAAAATCAGTTTTCATTTTTTAAATTATTATACCTTTCCCTTAAAATAATTCAAAATATAACATTTAGGATTTAGATCAAGGAAAATCCTTTGTATGTATGTATGTATAGTATAGGGTTTTACGGCGCTCGCAACTGCTAAGGTCATATGAGCGCGCGAAACACAAGTTGTTCACCTTAGCAAAAGTTCACTTCACGACTGGTTAACTAATTTACTTTAAAATGCTAAAAAGTTAAAATATTTAAATTCAGTGTAAATACATTTGTGATTTAAAACAACTCTTTTAAGTAACAATAAAAATTTTTAATAATATCAAATTCACTCTACAACTGGCCATAAAGGCCAATGGCCTTTATAAAGTTTTAAATTCTGCTGGGAACAACGACGGAAAAAATATCCTGCAATTTCTTGCATTTATAATATTTCCTTCGGATCTCTCCAAAGTCTAGACATTCTGTTAAAATGTGTCTAATGGTAAAATCTGTGTCGCATCCGACACAGAACGGCTTCTCATCTCCCTGTAGGAGGTATTTGAAGGTCAGGGCCGTGTGTCCGATGCACAATCGAGTAAAAATGACTTCGTCTCTTCTGGAGAGGTCCGAAGGATTTCGCTGTTCTAGTTTGGGTTTTATTTCATATAGTTTATTGTTTTTCTGGTTTTCCCAGTGGCTCTCCCACAGACTGGAGGTGTACTTTTTTACTTTATTTCTAAAGTCAGTCTATGGGAGAGTGTTTGTCGTTGATCCCAGCAGAAGGGATGAAGCTTTCTTCGCCAGGTTGTCTACCTGCTCGTTTCCTCGGATGCCCACATAGCTGGGTATCCATGCGAACATGATGTTTTTTCCTGTTTCGGATAGTGTGTGGATTTTCTGTTGTAGCCTAACTATTTTTGGGTGTAAGAGTGTGTAGTTTGTGAGTGAGGTGATGCAAGACAGAGAGTCAGAAAGGATAAGGAAAGATTTGTTAGGAGAATTTTCTACAGAGTCCAGTGCCATGTCGTTGATCCCAGCAGAAGGGATGAAGCTTTCTTCGCCAGGTTGTCTACCTGCTCGTTTCCTCGGATGCCCACATAGCTGGGTATCCATGCGAACATGATGTTTTTTCCTGTTTCGGATAGTGTGTGGATTTTCTGTTGTAGCCTAACTATTTTTGGGTGTAAGAGTGTGTAGTTTGTGAGTGAGGTGATGCAAGACAGAGAGTCAGAAAGGATAAGGAAAGATTTGTTAGGAGAATTTTCTACAGAGTCCAGTGCCATGTCAATGGCAGTGGCCTCCGCAGAGAAAATGGAGGCTTCAGGATGGAGTCTCCTCTGGTGTGTACTGTTGGAAGATAGGGCTGCGGCGCCTACTTCATTGTCTTTTTTGGAGCCATCTGTGAAGAGCCCGGGGTATTTATCTATTAGTTTTTTGTATTCTGCTTGAAAAGGCAGCGGCTGTGGGTTCTTGACATCTGGCGGGCCGGCTATTCACAGGGTCTTCGCCTATGGTTTGAGCCGCATACCTTATTACACGTTACAATTGGCCATACGGCCCAGAAACCTGTCCAGTCGGCCTGTACATGTAATAGGCCCTCTAAAGTATCTCAAAACTGACCAGAAGGCGAAAAAACAACAACTTGGAGCTACCTTAGTATAAACCAGGTCTCCATCACATATCAAACCCAACTGTATCTGTAGGAACTGTATGCATGGAGAACAAAAGATAATATAGTGGCCTGACTCTTCTTTATTTTTTAGATGCAGAAGTTTTTACGTCCCATCCACCTAATTTAGATCATTTAGAAGGAGGCAGGCTTTTATCAAAACAAGTACAAAGATCACGATTTTCAGTACAAATGTAAAAAATTCATTATTGTAAGAATCAGAAACACTGCAACTAACAAAGCAGATCATAAATAAATTACAGTCCTTCATTAATGGTTGCCTGAGGAAGATCATGAAAATCCACCGGCAGGACACTATCAGAAATGCAGCATTTTTAAGGCGAAGCAAACAACAAGGGATTAAGAGAAGAAGATGGCAATGGATTGGACAAACACTCAGAAAGCCAAACCACATCACGACAAGACAAAGTATAAGAAAGAACCCCTTAGGGAAGGAGAGAGAGAGAGGAAAGCTGAGATCCACCCGGGAGCGAGATCAAGACGAAGATCTCTGATATATGGGACAGAGCTGGCTGGAGATAAGTCGCATAGGACCAAAGGAAAGGAAATTAAAGAAAAAAAATCAAATTTTATGTAAATCCGATCAGGGCCCTCCAACAAGTTTTTTTTTAAAAAGGGGAGAGCTCCTATTTAATTAAAGTACTTGGCAGGCCTCCCTATGTATAAACTCACCTCTTGCCAGTCCTCATGAGCCAGTTGCAGAGCCAGCATCGTGTCGTAATCCATGTCAGGAGGTATAGAAGACTTCCAGTCGTCTTCCGAGGATTCTATGGGCACCAGATCTGTAGGAAAACAAGGCAGATACAACAACACATTCTCAGATATTGACCACAGTACTCATCGCCTTTTCAATGTCAATAAGTATGTGTGTGTGTGTGTGTGTGTTATGAGAGAGAGTAGGGCAGGGTGTAAGGATGTGGCGGTGGTGATGCGGTTTGGGTGGGGGGGCGGGGGGGGGGGGGGGGGTTTGATAGAAAATCAGTAAGAATTCAATAACAAAAAAGTAGTCACAACTGAATAAGACCACGGTTCATTGACAATGAGAAAAGTGTTTGTCTTAGACAAGTGAATGTCTAGGACACACTAAATTTTTTTAATGCAAAAAGTGGTCGTTTGTAAAAGTGACTGTCTTCAAAAGGTGGTTGTTAGAGCAGGTTTGAACCATAGGTCCAATTAATAAGTGGCTTCTTGGATGAACGATATATATGCAAAGATCTCCCAATGTAAGTTTAAGAACAAAGCATAAGAAGCACATAAACAGAATTAATCCCATGTGGGAACCCCATTGCAGACGCTGTGACTACCACGAGGAGACCATTGAACATCTTCTCCTTCACTGCCCAAACCAAGCAGTTCTTCGACGCAGGCTCCTACACACACCTACCGACTTACTCCGGTGTTGACCAGATGACAAGGACATGTGGTTACTTAGGGGAGGCATAGTGCTGCCAAGAGCGAAATGCTCGCAGCTAAAGGGATTTGAAAACAACAACAACAACAACAAAACATGGTTTAAGCCAAGTAATACAAAGTCCCGATCACAAAACACAAAAGATCTTATAGAATTTCTTTCTAAACAGGCTCTGACAATTTTCTTTAAAATCTTACTTCTCGCTCTCTGAACATTCACGTCCGACTTTTTGCTTGTGGAGTTCTTGGCCCTCCTGGCATTAGATAAGCTCGGTTTGTTTCCGCTGGCAGCCGAGGGCCTGGCGGAGGCTTCGGGCTCAGCGGCTCTGTTGCGGTTCAGCTCTCTGCGTAAGTTTGAGGTGACATCGGGGAACATATCTCTCGAACCAAAGTCATGGGCGTCTGCAAAGGATAACAAAGAGTCTTGCTACAATTTCTGCTCAACTGACAATGGTGACTGGAGCATAAAAAATAAAAGCATTATTTACACCTGGTGAACTAGAAATGCTATTGAAAGGAGTCCAAAAACATTTATTAAAGTACCATTTTAAAAAAAAATTTTTTACTGTTCTGTAACATGCAACATACTTTTCAAACTCATATTTTTAGAGTGTCATTTAGACTGAGGCACTCAGACATATTGGATAATTCTGACATAAAATTCATGCACCTTTCATTTGCGTGAGGAAAGAGAAGCATGCAGACCAATCAAGTCAGCACTGTACAAACCGAACAGAAAAAGAAAAAGTAGACCTGATCCGTCAGTTTTAATGTAGGTATTTTAGCGCCCCATCGACACAAATTTATATAATTTAAGAGGTGGGCTTCTTACCCTGCCTGTCAGGGCCAACCCAGGCTGAGAGGGATACAGTATCCAAGCAGAAAGACCAAGACACTCAATAAAAAACTGTCCCTGGTCAGGTATCAAACCCAAATCTCCTGCCTGCAACAGCGAACTGCCTAACTACTACACCACAGAGGCTGAAGATTAGTCAGTGACCGGAGTCATTGTTGCCTTATTCAAAAGACTGAAAGTTTTGCTGTATTTGCTATTAAGTGACAGTGCCCACTGAACCCTTGTGAGAAGCACACAGAAAACTTGCCCAGAGCTTTTAATTATTTTCAGTAACTCTTTTTTATTGACTAATCATAGAATCCTACACGCAAACCAAAAAAGCACCAGTCACTGAAGACTAAAAGCAAAGGACGTGGAAAAGCAAATCTAGTCAGGAAGAAAATTTTAAGAGCCAGAAAGTAAAAAGCGTCAGCTATAAACACTGTAGGGATGTAGGGGAATCACATGTCTGATCAGCAGCAGACCAACAGCAATAATGTGGCACATTTCAAACCATCATACACAAATCAGAAACATGAGCCAGATGCATCACAATATGCATGTTGTTGCCTCCCTTTTCAAGTTTCAGATTAAACAGAACTGAAAAAATCTATGTGGATACAGCATGTCTTAAAAAGTTGCCAAATGACCAGAATATGCATCCTCAATGAAGTAAATCTTTTCTCAAAGAGTGAACTGTGTTAGTTACCCAGCATATAGTGAAGTTCTTCCATGCGGAAGGGATCTGTGTTACTGCTGGCTGGGGCGGCAGCGGGCTTCGGCTCAGGGTAGGAGCATCCCGAGTTTTCGTGCTGAACCATGTCCTTGAGCATGATGTACTGCTGGCACAGGGGGCAGCACTCTGTACGGCTACCGCAGTAGTCAAAGTGAGACGCCAAATCAGCTTTCGGGAAACTCAGCTCACAGAACTGACAATGCATTGGCTTCTTGGCACAGTCATTTTCCTGGAAAAAACATTTTATCTACTCAGACAATTTTTCTCCTGGGTTCTACATCCTTAATGTGATAACCAGACATCATTCAACTATAGCTTGTTCACTAGCATCTGTCTCCAGGTAAAACAAAATAAAAACAAATCACTCTGTTCAATCTTCTCAGGTTTCCGCAAGTGGGTCTAGAAGTTGGATGAATAAAATTAAATTCAGGTCACTGCAAACTAAGATTTTAACACATTTTCTTTATTATTTTCCGAGAGCAGGAAAAAGAACAGTTATATGGAATCTATAACATTCACCCACAACATCAAATAGTTGACCTAATTTTATCAACACCACATTTAAACGCAGTCCAACAGACGGGTGATCACTTTTTGAGACTCAAATGGAAATGTCTAGATAGACTGCAATCTACAGGCTTACACTGAAATGTGGGGGCAGCGTGTTGTCGCTGTCTCAAAATGACCGATTTGAAGGCTAAGTTACTGTAAATCATTATTGTGGTGGTCCTATGTATGCACCCAAAGAGTGGTACTTAATATAGGGACCAAATAAAGAAACGTTTTTCTTACCAGATCAAGATTTCTTTTTTTATAAAAAATTTCTCTTGGTCACTGTGCCATGAATTGTCATTCAAAGTCACATGTGAATTGTTGAATTAATAAACAACTTAAAATTCATTTAATCCAGACGAAAGTAAACAAGCTATAGCACAGTGATTTTTTCTCTGTTCATCATAAAAAAACTAGTTCCTGAAAAAAGATCAAAGGAAAACATTTCTGAATACTACAGTTCAGAAACTAGCAACAAAGAACAAAAACATTCATGAAAAAATACAAATGGTACAACAGATTTCAAAGTTGTTGTTTTTTAAATTTGTAATTCAATCTTTAAACTGAAGCACAGGCTTCATCTTCCCAGTACCAAATGTGACTTTTCTGTGAATGATCAAGCCTACTACACTTTGCAACATTCTGTTAGCACTGTGTGACAGGCGTCACCTTCTCTTGAAATATGCAATGTTGTATCCAGTACAGTGATAAATAATTATGTTAACAATTGTGGTAGCAGTTGTTTTCAGGATGATACATGGAACCATGAGATTTTTTTTGTAAAGAAAGAAGAAAAGAAAAAAAAATTGACACAAAGACTCTCTTGTTGTGGTAGTTGTGTACAAGATCAAAGCAACACACTACGCCAAATATAAAAAAAGTATATATATGCTTAAGAAGCTGAATCCTCCAACATCCATTTAATCGACTGTTCAAGCAAAAGCAAATAAAATCTCCGCAAAAATATATCAGTGTTCCCAACATGTCACATTATTTTGTTATTTTTGTAAGTTAAAAAGTTCAGTTATCTTTTCAGACTTCATAAACTTTTTTTCTTCTTTTGTAGCCAACAGAGGGTTGGACATTAATTTCCTTAATTCTTTTTATCCCAGCTAAGTGTGTACTCATAACGAGGACCAGACCGGGCTACGAGTAAACTCTGAACAGCTATATGGTCACGTGAAACAGCTAGTTCTGCTTGTAATTACCAAAATACACAAATACAGCGATGCTAGCTCAGTTTGAATACTTCAATTTTCCAATGTACAGTGATTTCTTTGTTTCTGATGGGTGTAGAAGCATGAAAAATGTCTTGAAAACGCACATTCACAACTGACAAAGTACTTCTTGAAGTGTCACTGGGTTGTGAGGGGGAATGAGACTAATTTGATGAAAGTGACTCTGAATCAAGTGCTGTAAACTCCATTGTGTACGATAACAAACAGGAATTAGACTCATCTAATAATGATTCAGATCATGGTGAAGGGACCAGTGCTGGAATTCGAGCAGTACCGATGGGTAGGGTAGATCTATAAATCCAAGGGGACGTTGTAGGCGAGGCAATCAGGGCAAGTTGGATGGTGGAATATACCATAAAATCTACATGGTGCAATACCACTAACATTTTCAGATACTATATTCAATTTTTAACATAACTGTCAAATTTCCTTAAAATCTGAGAGTAAATGTAAGAAATACAGCCCGAATTCCATCTTATATTGGGCGGTCTTATATGGGGCGGAGGCCCCAGGACAGGTACAGATTCCGTGGGGGTACGGCCAGGATAAAAACAGTTGACATTTAAAAGACAAAAACTATAAAGAGAGTATTAAAAACATTTACTGTATTATTTTTAGAGTCTCTGATTATAAATTATCAGCAAAAAAGTAAGGGTATCGAACAATATCAAGATTATATTACACACATGTTCTTAAACAAAAAACATAACTTTCCATACCATATGTTTCTCCATATTCTCCTTCGCTACTTCCATCTTGCACAGTACACATGGCGTTTTGGCATGTACGTCATTGAAATGCTGCTCCAGCTCCGAGCGAGGTATAGGTTCCTGGCAGTGGTCACAAAGGACAATATGTCGGCGACAGTGCATCTCGTGCATTACAAAGTTGGACGAAGAGATGTCACGCTTGCTGTAAAATAAATAAGAGACAAAAATACAGCCAAAGCCAAACTGAAATGAAAGGAAATCAGGCTCCTTCACTAAAATAGAAACTCATGTCAACAGAGCAGTAGTGTAAAAAAAAAAAATGTCAACTTATACCGCAACGAAAGAACACAATAAAAAGATTTTTCTTTACTTAGCTACTTTGAAGTATAGGGAAATAAAGTGTCAGACAGACTCATTGAAAGGACAAAAATGAGTCATTCCCTGTTGCTGTAAGACAATTCAGGAAACAAAACCTTTGTAAAAAAATTAAATTACTTATATTTCCTGATATTTTCACATCACTAAGTCAATCATCAATTTCCTTACCAGTTTGAGCAACGCTTCATTTCCCCTTGATCAGCCATGTTGCCTCCACTGGTTTCTTGCACAAATACACAGAATCTGAGTTGAAAGAAACAATAAAGTTAGTGACATGAAATTGACAGATGCTTTAGAAAACAAAAAATCAACAGAGTAAGAAAAAGTAAATGAATAAAACATCCTAATTGCAAGAGAATACCCAGCTGATTACACTTTCTTTCCTTCCTGTCTTTTTTAACACAGTTATAGAACAGGTTCATTATTTCTTGGGAAAAGAAAGACCAGCTAAATTATGCTGAGATATAACATATTGCTCAAGAGGCAAAAGAAAGTTTAATGTAATCATTTAAACCTTAAAACAAACTTTTTTCTGCCAAAATGAGTTACTTTGATTTACATTTTTCATTTTTAAGCTTTAAAAAAAAAGAAAAGGGGGGGGGGGGGGTTAATTTTTAAAATCATCACATGTATTGGAGAAAATTTAAATTTCCAACTTCAAACCCAGATTTTTCAGAACTGAATACCAGAGGGGTGACTTAATTAAGAAGCTTACATATATCGGCTTCTAATTAATATTTAAAATCAGTGTATGCCTATTTACTAATGAGGTAATGTATTTTTGAAATATGAAAATGAGATCAGTTTAAATTGCTAATTTTGTAACACTTGAGTTACTTTTTTGTTGCATCTCACACATAAAATAACAAAAATATTGTGTCATGACAAGGCAGAATCAGGCACTCATCAATTTTTTGGCACACAGAGTTATTGGTATCATGTTAAAGACAGTTCATTCGCTTTTCTTTGATTAAAAAGAAATACCCATCTATCTTGAATAAAAGCCAATATATTTGTGACTGAAGGAGGTAGGAGTCGTCTGGTATTTGAAATAAAATTCGCAAGAAAATGGCCTGCAATATAACATGTTTTGCGACTTGGATTTCCAAAGAAACACGAAGATAATTCAAGTTACTTCACCTACAGGAGAAAAGTTGAAGTTATTGCGTTCAACAATTTTTCTTTTGAAGAACAAAGAAAGAGCTTCAACGTGGGCACTTGAACGTGGAGCCTTAGTACGACTATGACTGCCCACAGAAAATGAATTTGATGCAATTCCCCTTCAAATTTTTTTTACAAAATTGTTACTACATCCAGCGCAAACCCTAACCACAACCACGACTAACTATGATATTCTATACAAAATACAAAGTCAACAGGTTCGAACTTCTGTAACTGATAAATTTAACCAAACTAGGAACTCAACACCTCTTCCCATAGTACATATTTAGATATACCCAAACAGTAGAAACTAGGCTTAGACATTCGTACCATATGCAATAATGAGTCCTCTGTTTCAGGCTTATCTCAAGGCAGATGTACATGTTGGTTAAGTTTACAAGGATGGAAAAATGTAAGGTCACATTTTTACTTTCACTCCCGCACAGAGATGCACTCCTTGAGGGTCAAATGGCCATATTTTTGCTGCAGATCAGGTAGCCACTAAAACTGTCGCAAGTCAATTATTTTCAAGAAAAATTTCAAAGCTGATTTGGTAAAACATTAAATTATGGAATAAAACAGTCCCTGTAACACCCCCCCCCCCCCCCCCCCCCACAGATTTTACCTCAGGGTGGCATGTCCTCCTGAAACCCCCCAGAATGGTCCACAGCGTGAAAACTACAATGCATTTAGGCTTAGTAGTAGTAATTAAATATCAGTTCAGAAAAAAATAACAATTAAAAAAACTTCATTTTGCTACAGATATATATATATAAAAAGTCAATGTCATGTAAAGCAGATAAAAATTAGCAGGACAAGTGCTATACAATGCTACTTTTAGAATTACAAAGTTCTACCTGAGCTGCTCGGACCCCAGCTCAGTACCTAGTTTTGAGAAATTTGACATCAGAGTTTTAGTTTCACAACATGTCAAGCTTTCTTGAATGCAGTTCTTGATATAACAACTCTGAATAGCTTATGATTTTGATGTAGCAGAATTTCTGAAAGAGTATTTGTCATTTGGTCTCTGACCTCATGGCCATGGTCTTAGTAACTCAAAATGGCCCCAAAAAAAGTCAGATAGAACTTTGTAATGCCACAAAAGATTTCCCCTGCCGAGTCTGAATACTGTATGTGAGGCAGAGTGGTGACATCAGGTGCTCGTCAAAATTAGTGAAATTGAAGAAACAGGCATTTTTCTGTCAGTTTGGCAATTTTGTTGAATTTTTATTTTTTGGCTCAACAAACGTTGATTAACTCATTCGCTACGTATTATTTTCGGCTTGCGGACTAATTTTTTTTCGGGAGGGCGAATGAGATGATGACTAGTGGGCAGTTAAAAGGTCTTTGGGGCGACAAATTCAAATAAATATCAACATATTATATACCAATATTTTCAGTATGGATTGTAGAATACATCTGTAAAGTTCATTTATGTATTTTTCAACTTTGGTTCCTGTAAGAGGCCATTATGCAACACAATTTTGATTGGATGCGGATAAAATTTGAAAATAAAATTTTTTAAATCTTTGGTGAAACTCAGGGCTTGCACCTAGTCAAATGATATATCACAACAACCATAAATGAATATAGAACTGGAAAATATCGAAAAGTTTGCAGTTATTCACATACATTCCATAATATTTGTACATTTGGATCATAACATCCGATATTGGAAAAAAATTTTTTTTATAATCTTGAAAAACGATCACAAACAGATAAAAACCCACTCGTATCTAATATGGAAATATTCAGAATTGCATTTGGAATAAACCTATACATGTCTTGAGTGGCATCTTTTGGGTAATTTCATCATAAAGTATTGATTTTGGGAAGAAAAACATATTTTGACAATTTAGATCTAGACCTAGATCTGGCACTCAAAAATATTGATTTCTAAATAACAGTGCATTGGCAATATGAGTCCAATCGTATCAATATTATAAAAAAGAGTCCTACACTTCTTTAGTGGGCAAAATAATGATAGATTTTGTTGTGTAAAATTACTAAGACTGGTGTCCGGGCTATAATTTTGGCATCGCGATAAAACAAAGTCGAATAAACTACGAAATCGCGTTTCAAAACTGAATCTAAACTTCCGATTTTCAGTGGAAATGCTTGACCCGAAAGTCAACATTATATCATGACCTTTATTTTAACATCGATATGCGGATTGGAATAGAATCTTTACTAAACTAATATTGAAGATCGGTTCTCGAGCCGCCGGGGGCGGCTTAGCGTACTGACGGCACATTAGCCGCGCCGCCCCCAACGGCTCGGCATAGCGAATGAGTTAAAGGCACAAAATATATATTTTTCAGCTTTAGGCCATTGAAGTTACCAACCTTTGGCCGCCATTTTCTCCCTAATTTTACCTCTGAAACCGGGCGACCCCACCTCCTTCAATCGCAAGTATTTCAACTTCTATTCAAGAAAGATGGATATTTTTTAAATTGAATGCAAAGCAAATGAACAAGCTTTCAGGTGATACCCATAACTCTACATAGCCAAAAATTGACGAGTGCCTGATTCCACCACGTCGTGACACGTATACTTTGTGTCTTTGTTCCCGGTTACTGAGTCTGTATACACTCCCTAAAATAAAACAGGCAAACATAACAGCAAAGTGTCCTCCAAAGTCCAAGGCTTGATGTACAAGTACAAGTACAGTACTTACAAGAAGAGCTAACAAATCACACCTTGATAGACCTATATGACAATTATTCAATCCCTCTAATTTTCCATCTCACAAGGATGATGCAAGCCTGTTGACATTGAAAGGACTCAATCTGGGATAATCCGGTTTCGGCCGTGTGGGTTTTGACTTCTGCCAGCTCTATTCGGACTCAAGTCCGATTAGATTTTTTATCTATTCGGACTCGAGTCCGATATGGGTTTTATCTATTTGGACTCGGGTCCGAAAAAAATGTTTTATTTATTCCCTCTGCTTCTAAGTGAGTTATGTGAGTGTAAGGAGGTTACATAATATAACTGTTGTCGGGGGATTTTACATAAAACCAAAATTAGAACTCTAGAATTACCTACTAGGACTGTTTAATGGTATCAAAGGTCAAAAGACTGCACTCTCATTGTCCAATGGCAGTGTCTAAGTACACAGTAACCGACAACACAGGGTCTTTCCACCACCACTAGCCTACAGAATTATCAATACTTCCACCACCATTTGTCTTTCCGCATGTTTAATTTCATTTTGTTGTGTGTTAGAGTTTTTCTGTAATTAATTTTTTAAAAATCACATTGCACAAAATCGACAGCCGTGGTCTCTTTCCAACAGCAAGCCGAGAGTGCGAGATCGCAGCGCGCAATCTCACTGGTCGACATAATTAACTTTGCCCTCAGCAAGGTCAACTCAACTTGGTTGTTCTGTTCATAAATGATGCAGAGAGGGCCAGTTTAGATAGATCTAGTAATTGGATTTTAAAGCTCACGTCTTGCTTGTTATCATTATAATCGAAAAAATTTACACAAATGCTGGAAATATTTTTAGGAACAAGGGTCGGGAGTTCAAACGGACGTCATGCTAGACTCAATTCAGAGTCTGAATATAATTTTTGCCTAATCAGACTCGAGTCCGAATAGTCACTTCGTTTGACTTCACCAATGATTACTTCTGGTTCTAAACGATTACTTTTCGATGCGCATGTCAATATTATAATGTTTGACTCCAGCAAGCAAGAGATATCAAGCCTAATTGAATTGAAAAACATCAAATTATGGTTACATTTGGGGTGGGTGGGTGGGGAGGGGGCGTTATTTCGTACTGAAAAATAGCAGCGCGCAACTCTAGCTCTCTTTCGGACATCGATACCCAGTATTTAAGTCAGTATTGATATCCAGTACTCTTGAGGCCAAAACCGGAGAATTCCCTTTTTTAAAACCTAGAAATCTAAACCATTCACAAGGCCGGTTAACACTTTGCCCCCACGGGACACCCATCGGCGACAGTAAGAGCTAAGCCATCCCCTTTCCCCACCACGGGACGCTGATCGGCACTGGTGTGCAGTAAAGCATGTACCGCACCTGTCCGTGGGGATAAGTGTTGGGCGTTTTTGTAGTTTCGTTCGTTAAAGTCAAGAGTAGGGGGGCTTGCCCCCTGACCTAATAAAATTATGGAGGTGGGGGGGGGGGGGGGGGGGGAGGGGGGGGCATGCCCCCCTGAATTTTATCCTAATTTGATGCTTTGCAGTTAGAGTTATAATAATAAGGTTGCATCCCTACTCTTTGTGTAGCCTATTTCAAATAATATTTGGTCATCAAGACGGCCACCTCTATTCTCACCCGGAGTGAGAATAGTGCAGGCTAGTCTTGTGGCTATTCTCACCCGGTGCGCGTTCACCAAATTTTGTGTTCACCCTAAACCACAGAATTCTACACTGTGATAACAGAAAAATTGTAGAATTCTGTGCCGTGAATAAACGTTCCATTACAACTGTAGCCTACTAAAAGCGTACAATTTTGTCTGTGGGCAGTGGAGAGAGAGAGAGAAAGAGAGAGAGGAGTAGCGCGAGAATTTCCGGGCAAAACAAAATGGCGACCCGCGTAGTTCGGCTCGATTCGAATAAGTTAAATAGCCGTAGCATCTTTGTAGACAACCAAATTAATTTACTTTTGTGTTTTAACATCATTTTTTAACTTTGTTTTGATCAATTTGATCGTCCACACCGATAGACAGTATTCAGAAAGAGACAGAGAGAGAGAGAAGAGGGGAGGAGTTGATCTTGCCAGAACTTCTGGGCGGGTGAGAATAGCCACTTTCCATCAAGACTTCTGGATTTCTTCTCTGGATGTAAAAACTAAAAACAAATGGATCATGGACTTTAACGAACAGAACTACTAGATCACCAAGTGTTGATCAGACATGGGTGGAAAAACTGTAGAATTGTACAAGAAAGGAGTGAAGTAGTGAAAGTGAAAGTGAAGTACAATTGAACCTGCTCAACTATTGCCCATTGGCAATGGCCACATATTCTTAAGTTATGATAGATAATGACCATTTTTGGGAATTCTTCAAGACAATCAGTGATGAGTGAATCACCCTTTAACTTTAATCTTTACTTTAGCACTTTATAATAACGTTTACAATACAGCAACTTCTCAAGCTATGCTATCTAGATCTAGATCTAGATCCAGACCTAGAATTCTAGATGACAGGGACAGGGAAGAGGTCCGTTTTTTGTTTTTAAAAGAGAGAGAAAGAAGAAAAAAAGCCCGAAAAGCGACAAACTGTAAGTTTTCTTACCTTTAACAAGCAAAACTAGGCCTAATGTCGATTAGAAGCTATCACATTTAACATGAGTTGAGGTTTACAATCTGTCTTGTGGGATCCAACAACTCTCAGTCACATAGATTCTATAATAAGATAACGGACGGGTCAGTGAATGCCTGGTCATCTCGAGCATAGCGTTCCTCGTGAACAGCTGTAATCGAAATTAGGTAATATTAAGTTGTTTCGGGGAAGAAGGAATTTCCATGTCAACGATTGGTCGTGTGATTTGTTTTGTTTACAATTGTGTCGATCTCGTTGATTGGCTACACTTGACTAAATGGCATGTCTCTGATGGCATGACCAAAATCAGAAGTAGGATGAACATTATGTTTCTCCATTAATCGTCCAGTTTCTGAAGAAAAAAAAATTACCCTCTAGGCAGACCGATCTATTTTTGTATGATAAGTGACTAGTATTTTTTTGTATTTATTGTTCAGTTCAGCGAAAGCATGTTTTAGAAGCCTTTAGACTATGTCAAGTCGAGGGGTCCTTGATCCAAGCCAAAAACACGTTTTTCTGTTAATATAAACAGAATCACATTATCTATTTAACAGTTTAGTAGGTCGTTCTGTTTTGTTATTTTTTTCAAAACAAACTGTCGACAACTATTACAGGACAAGCAAAATGAACGCTGCTTCTCTTTTTACTTTCTTTCTTTTTTTTTTTATTACAAAAGTTACGAGCACTTCATACAACAGAGCTAAATATGTGGACCCTTGAGCTGTATGATTAGATTAAGTACTGAATAATTTGTTGGACATTTTAGACGAATTTTGTTTTGCAAACAAGAGAACATCCTAATAACTTGAGGCGCTGCCTTGTTTTGTTATTTTGATTATTGTTATCATATTTTTCCCCCACTTTAGCGTTCATTCTCATGAAGATCTGACCAACCGGCGGTCGGGCCTCTAGAGGTCAAAAGGGAAGTGACTCTGACTTTTGTTTACAAGACACACATGGTGCAACAGTGACAAGTGGGAAGGACGCTGGAAAGTTCGAAGAAAATTAAGACTTGAATCTCGACATTTATTGTCGGAGTTTTGTTGTCGCTGTGCCAGTGACTTAAATTTGTCACTCACACAACTCCAGCTTATCCCATATTTAGTGTCAAAATGGCTGCCCAGCCAGAACTCAGCGATGCTGCTGTGAAATTTGTAAATGAACTTGAAATGGAAATGATGGTGGATATGTACAACAGGTAAATCTAGAACTAGATCTAGATTCTAGGTAGGCTAGATCTACATCTACATCTACATCTAGATTCTAAGTCTAGATCTAGATCTAGATCTAGATCTAGATCTAGATATCTGGATCTAGAATCTAGATATCTTGGCCTCTTTGAACATTAGCAGATCCCAATATCTTGTCTGTCTCTGTAGAGTATAATTTATTATGGGTATGATGTCTTGGGGGAAATTCAAATGATCCTCCTCTCTATCGAAATCGAAGTGTATACAGACCCGGTAACCGGGAACAAAGTCACGAAGTATACAGACCCGGTAAGGGAACTCTTTTGTGATTTCGGAAAGTTTCAGCGCCCAGACCCGGTAGTGTGTGTGTGTGAGAGAGAGAGCAGGGGGAAGTGCTAGCAAAATGTATGACATGCCCCAGTTGGCAGGAGGGAACGAGAGAAAGATATAGATCTAGAATCTAGATCTAGTGGAAAATAGGTGGGGAGAAAGAAAGACAGAGACGAACAAAGAAAAAGAGAATGCGAGCGACAGAGAGAGAAATAGAGAGGATGAATGCTCGAGAGAAATTATGACATTGTTCTTTTCTTCAAATTGTGATTCCTCCATCTCCAAAACAGAGGAAAAACGATCGTTCAACGAAAAGACATCCACAATCTTCATTTAGAATTTAGATCTAGATCTAGGCTAGCCTCGAAACTAGATCAATGATTTATGTCTGTCTGTCTAGATCTAGACCTAGCCTAGGCCATAGATATATAGAAGAACCTAGATCTAGGTCTACCCAGAGCCAAGAGGGCGCTTGAAACTTTCCAAAATCACAAAAGAGTTCCACTACCGGGTCTGTATACTTTGTGACTTTGTTCCCGGTTACCGGGTCTGTATACACTCCCTTAGATCTAAAATCTAGATATTAGATCTAGAACTCTAGACGACTCTAGATCTAGATCTAGATATAGAATAGTATGATAATTGAACTGTTGGGGGCCATTCCATTTATACGTCAGTTGTCAGAAACGAATGACCACCACATGCGATTAAACGTAGAAAGATGCAAACTATTTTTAGGTAAGGCGCCCATCTTGTTTGATGTCAGACCAGGTACTACCCCTCCGATCACATGACTACATCTCTAGATTCTAAGTATAGCCAACCGCATGGCACCAAAGATGGAAGTGTCTATGTATATGATGCTTAACCTACCTCTCGCTCTCGGAAGTTCTGATGGCCGAATACAGAGTGCGTCTGCATTTGAAGTCATGCAATGATTTTAGGAGCGATTCGATCCCGGTCCCAGACAGTTTGTTTTTTCTCTTCTCCTCCGCCCGACTGACCAACAGTCCCATAAATTATAATCTGTAGCTTTGAAGTTCTTTTTGTTTTTTCTATAGATCAGGGCAATCTATTTATATATATATTAGTGATGTAGAATGTGTATGGGGGGGGGGGGGTGGATCTAGATCTAATCCTCCCGCGTCTTTACGGCAATTTTCGTGCGATTTGTTGTCTTTGTGTTTACTGTGTTTCTATTTCAACAAGCATCAGCGTTCTTAATCTTACTGTTCTAAGCATCAACATTCTAGGATCTTCCATCACGTCCAAGTATTAGATCTAGATCTAGGAATCCAAAAAGTTACCGAAAACGTCGTTCCATGTGGGTATCCCAGGAAGTGATGACATCACAGTACTAAAATTAGCAGCCAATCAGAAAGATGCGTCTTCTACGTTTAATCTCCTTGAGATTGAGATCTAGATCTAGATATTAGATCATGGATATTAGATCTAGTGTAGACTCTAGATTTTCTAGATCCAAGCCTAAAGTCTAACTTGCGTAAAATTAAAATTAAAGTATGATACACGCACACACACATCTAGCTCCTAACGCGACAGTTGAGTAGTCTAGATCTAGATTTCTAAGTTTAAATTTCTGCGAGTTTGTATGTGACAGGTAATGCAACCCATGGTGAAAATGATAATACAACAAAGATTAATAAAAACTGAAGTGATAGATCTCTAGATATCGTGTAAAGCGCATAGAGCCTGCTGTTGGGCGGGGATATGCGCGATATCAATGCTATTTATTATTAGATCTAGTTTGTTAAAGGCTGTTAAAGGTAATTTTGCTTATTATATGAAGCTGGTATTTTGACTTTGCCTGGAACAAATCTGAGTCAGGTCGAAATTGGCCCACCCCCCTGTCGAAGTTGCCTCGTTTCGCCCTGTCAAATTTGCACCAGCCATCAAAATCTCACCCCGTCATTTTTAATACAAAGTGGCTGTGCGTACGGCTCCCGTAAGCATAGCCTCGTGGGTATGCCTACGGCCCTCCCGTACGCATAGCATCGAGGCTATGCCTACGGCCCTCCCATACGCATGGCATAGCATCGAGGTTATGTGTACGGCCCTCCACTTCACTTTTATAAGCTAGGCTTTGTAGGCGTTACATAAACTATCAAAAAGGACAGACTTAACCCTAGAAGCGCTCAGCTGAGGTACCAGAGATGTATACCGGCTACTGAAAAATGACCATTTACGGTTCAACAGAAGGCCTATAAAAACCATATACGGTATTTTCTTAAACCTGATAGAATGAGCCGTTCAAAAATGATAAGCTATCAAATTGATATATATTATATATACAATTATATACAAACAGAGCAAAA